TTAAAGTGGAAACAGGCCTGGCACCCTAACCTCCAACTATCTATTGCTCGATCGGCACCTTGTAAGCATAATATTTTTCTTTAATTTCACCACATTTTACTAATATATTTATTTATTGCAAATGGCAGGCGTTTTGATAGTTATCATTAGCCCTTTAGCTGACTTCGGGCTTCACAGGGGGAAGGAACATCAAAGTAACAGAAAGTCGAGGGGTGGGGAACAGAAGAGTGATTTACGGATGTAAAAAGACATATACGAAGGCAGAGAAAAGGTAGGATGAGTACTGCGGAAGTGGTAGAATATGGCATACAATTGGGCCGTTGTAGTTAAAAGCCAGCAGTCAATCGCCAGTTAATAGACTTTTTTCCGTATGAGTATACGTTGCCCAGGGTGCACCACGTGGAGGTAAGTCTATCATACACCCCCCATTTTACTAATATAATTCAAAGTCAACCTTTATTGCCAATTGTTTGACTACATGAGTACGGCAGTAAAGTAGCGCTTAACCCGGCCGGTAGAACCACTTTGGCAACCAATCAGATAAGGTTTTGATTTATTCACCTTTAAAGCTAAAGACCTTCCCAAAGCAGAAGACCTTGACTTGAGTTCAGTATTTGGACCAATATAAGAAATGGACGAAAGGTGAACAGATTTGGTGATAAAACTGAAAGGAGTGGAGGATAGGGATAATAACGGTTTGAGCATCTCAGTAGGGATTCTATGACGAAGGTACTGGCCGAAAAGTTCGATTTTTCTTTAAATCTTAAGTCTCCATTGGGGCTACTGCTGCTTGACCTCTGTAATTGTCTTAGTTATTTGTTTATATCAAATGGCAGGCGTCTTGATGGTTATCATCGGCCCTTTAGTTGTCTTCAGGCTTTGTAGAGAGGAAGAGGAATATCAAAGTGAAAAAAATTCGAGAGGGGGGGGGGAAGAGAAGAGAAGAGCGTTTCAAAGATGTAAAAGAGGTGGACACAAAGGTGTAAAAAGGTGAGATGAGTACTGTGAATGTAGTAGAATATGACATACAGTGGGGTGATGGTAGTTTGAAATGAGAAGTCAACTGTTAGTTAATAGACTTTTTGCCGTATGAGTATACGTTGCCCAGGGTACACCACGTGGAGGTAAGTCTATCACACACCCTTACCTCTCTAATTGTAAAGTCTGGGATGGACATACACCCATCTAGATGCCACTTTTTCTAATATATACGGAGTTAATAGCCAACAGAGTGTCAAATACGTCTATTCCAAACAGGTTCAAGTCAGGTCGAGCCTTGAAGTCTGTTCGGCACAATTTAAACCGAAAGTAAGCTGGTGGCACCTATTCCGTGTTACAGGGGCAATTTTTTGCATAAAAATAAGCTGAAGGATATTTCTAGTTCTTAGATATGATGGATTAGTTTCTATATTTGAGTATGCAGCAAGAAGTCAATTTAAAATGTTTTCTGCTCTTTTTTTCAGTGTTTGAAAGTATAATTGAACGCGAAAGACATCTCGGTTTTCATATTGAGGAGAAGAGCAATTGTCGTCGCATATCCAAATCGAATTTCCAACTGGTTCTTTGTGTCGGTGGAGTTATCGATCCTAACCCCCAAAGATTGTTAAAGTATGTTTTAAAATCAAAACTATTTAATCTATATTGGATTGAATTATTTTTGGGTCGGTTTGGTATTATTAAAAAGGTTATTTCTTTATTTATTTCAAATGGCAGGCGTTTAGATAGTTATCATTAGCCCTTAGCTGACTTCGAACTTCACAGAGGGGGAAAACACCAAAGTGAGAAAAAAGACAGACACAATGATAGAGAGTAGGGTAAGGTGAGTACCGTAGAAGTGGTCGACTATGGCATGGTCGACTTCATGGAAGTTTGAAGTGAGAAGTCAACTGCCGGTTAATAAACTTTTTTGCCGTATGAGTATACGATGCTCAGGGTGCACCACTTGGAGGTAAGTCTATCGCACACCCCTTCATTTAAAAGTAGACCTGTGGTAAAACGTTCCTTCACGAAATGAAGTAGCTTAAGGGAAATAAAACAACCTATAACGCTAATGGTAATTGAATGTTGCAATAAAGAACCTGATTCTACAGAATAACCTTATTTTAAATTTATATTTTTCATCAATAATCGTAATATGTCAATGAAATATGATTCGGTTCATAGAATGGTGATCTTAGAGACACTTTTTCTGATCTACCTCTTGTGGGTGGGTAGATACGGAACTGTCCTTAATGCATAAGAGTGAATGCAATATTACGAAACATTTTTCCTGAATACATCTAAAAATTTTATACGCGTCAATAGTTATTGTTAAGGTGAAATCACACCTTGTGAGAAATCTTGATTGATCACTATGTGGACTTCTCTAGCATTACTATAGAGAATGAGAATCCTACATTATTTATTTATTTATTAAATTGCCGTTTGGATTGGTGAACAGTGTTTGGTGAACTGAAATGCTACGTAGACACGAAGAGCGATTTCAAATACGTGGCCTTAGAATCGATGGATAGAATTCGTGTCCTAATCAATGTCATATTGATATAACGAGAAATCCAACTTAGTTCAGAAGCAGGAATCGTGGCGTACAACTTGTGGGTATATTGATTGGCGGTCATAAAATCCCTCTGAGATATGATACTTTTAAGATAGTTTACTCCTCTCTATCACCAATTACTTTGTGCTTTGACATTGTACCCTAAAATGTGATTTCGTCAAAGCTTGGGCGTAACCTAAGTTCCTAAGTTATTTTTAAAGTGTTGTCAAATAAATAAATTGATTTTATTCAATTACTTGCTTTCGTACGTTTAGCTTCATGGGTTTCAATCGAGTACATGTTGCTCTAACGTACGCCGGCCGACCCCTGTCCAAGGTTTGTCCCATCAGCAAGGATCAGAAAAACTTTCCAGATCTCAACAACTGTCCGGAGTATGAGAACACCGTGCCGGTACACAGCGACTCCTATTACTCCAAGATGGTCGATTTTAAGTCGAATGGCAAAATTAACGAGTGGATACGCTTTTTAGATTTCCGCCTTCGACATTTGCCCAGAGAGACTATGCTTAATATTAGTCTCATTGCTTGCAAGAAGGAGATGAAGGATTCTTCTACTTGTGAGTCGGCTTTAGCTAGTTAATCATTATACTTTTAATTATAATCGGTTTCATTATTAGGCAAAGATACGGTATATTATTAAGGTAAGTAGATAGGGAGGTGTAATTAGTTAAAATTTTGGAAAAGGATAGGGCGTTTCGATTCGTATGTTTTGTGCTTCTTGTGCCTTCATTACTTGGCTCGTAAGATTGTGTTGTTGTATGCTTTTTTACGAATTTCCTAAAAACATCATTGAGAAGATTCTCACGGAACCCTAAGTATCAGAATTGTTGAGGAAATTCTGTCACGGAACGACTATACCATCTGGAAATTGGACCATTTATGAATCCTGGTGTTACATCAATAGATAATGCTTCGTTAGGGGCTCTAGAACATTTCTTTCGTATCAACGAAAAATTTTTATTTATATCAAATGGAAGGTGTTTTGATGGTTATCATTAGCCCTTTAGTTGAATTCAGGCTTCACAGAGGGGAAGGAACATCAAAGGAAAAAAGTCGGGG